GAGACAGAGAGATAGAAAGCGAGAAATCACACCCCCAGGGGGGATGGCCCCGCTGCAATCCCTTCTCCTCCATTCTTCTCTCGGGATCTTGGGCACGCACGCACACGCGCCTGGCGTGAGTCTAAGCCACTGGATCCGGGACGCGAACCGTGGTCGACTACATGGAAGTCCAGCCACATAGCCATGACGCTAACTGCTGGTCCCCGTGCATTCAATGTTAATGCCAACAGTGTGTGTGGCGTATTATTAGGGGGACTTACTTATTTTAAGGTTTTTGCCAGAAGGCACATGTGCTTACCTGAGAGACAGAGAGAGACAGTGAGAGGGAAAGTGAGAAATCCCCCCCAAGGGAGATGGCCATACTGAAATCCTTTCTCCTTCATTCTCCTCTTAGGATCTTGGGCATGTATGCACATGTGCCCAGTGTTAGTTTCAAGCCACCAGATCCAGGACTTGAACTACGGTCAACCATATGGAAGGTCAGCGTCTTAACCACTATGCCACCTGCTGGCTCCAGTAAGGGGTCTTTAAACAGAAACACACCTAAATCAAGGATCTGTATTGATTAATGGATAAAAACCCTTGTAACCAGAGACTTGAAGGAGCCTATCCTGTAAATCCCCCAGGAGCATCGAGTCAGTATTCTGTAATTTAGTGCTCGCAGTGACTCTACAGAACACCTTTAGAGACCTTTATAGAACTCCTGTGGAAAATAACTCTTTAGAGTTGGAAAACACGATGTCCATCATGTCAAAGAGAAAGGGCATTTTAATTTCCTTATCAGTGAAACAAGAATGAAAAATAAGGATTAAAAAAAGCCAGCATCAAAGGGCCATTGTGCAGTGCCATGAGAAAACACCAGCCCAGAGCCCAAATGCTGCAGATCCTAAGTCTGTCTGTTTTTCTCCCCCATCAGGTAGCGAGTCTCCCAAGCAGTCCGCTGTAGTTCTGTGTTCTCGAGCAAGATGTGAGCAGGAGCCTGGTGGTGCCTCTGATGCGCCTCCCAGGTGGGCGCTCCCTGTCTGGACCTCACCCCCTCCACGGGATGCGCATTTTTGTGCAGGAGCCTGTTCTCGAGGACCACAGCATGTCCCGTCTGAATTAGCTTTCCTGTTGCTGCAACCAATTACGGCAGATTTACTGGCTTAGAGCCACATAGTCCAGCCCGGTGGTGTGGTTCACAGCGTGCTGGACCACAGTGCTGGAGGCCACATGGCTGACTGTGAGTTTGGATCCCTGGCCCAGCCGACCTGAAACACGCCGGGTGCATATGTGAGATCAGAGCATGACCAGAGCCCTTGAGGCTGTTTTTTTCCCTCTCACTCTCTCAGGCTTGCGTGCACACAGGTTCTCTGGCATCAATTAAAAATAGAAGATTCTGGAGGTCAGAAGTCCAACGTGGGTTTCATGGGGCTAAAGTCAAGGCATCGGTGGGAATGCGTGCCCCTGGAGGCTCCCTGGGCGAATACAGGGCCTTGCCTTTCCCAGCCATAGTGGCCCCATCTTTGCAGCATTCCCCTCTCGTACTCCGAGCCTCACTCTCCTGCATCCATCCTTCACCTTTAAGGACCTCGTGCTTACACTGGGTCCACGAGGATAACCTAGGGTGAGCTCCCCAGCTTGAGAGAGTTCATCATCTCACCTCTGAAGGTCCCTGTGCCATGTACTATACCAACCTCACAGGTGGCGAGACTGTGAGCGTCTTTGGGGACTGTTTTTATGTCCACCACACTATACGTGCTTTATGGTGTGAGAGCTGCAACAAGAAGGCACTTTCTATGCTGGGTTGGGATGGTATCAGGTGTGCACCGTACAGCGCCGTGTGTGTGTGTGTGTGTGTGTGTGTGTGTGTGTGTGTGTATGTATAAAATCCATTCTGTGCTGGGTGGGGGTGGTGTCAGGTGTGCACCATACAGGGCCTTGTGTGTATTAATATCCATTCTGTGCTGGGTGGGATTGGTGTCAGGTGTGCACCATACAGGGCTGTGTGTATTAACATCCTTTCTGTGCCGGGCGGGGGTGGTATCAGGTGTGCACCATACAGGGCCTTGTGTGTATTAACATCCTTTCTGTGCCGGGCGGGGGTGGTATCAGGTGTGCACCATACAGGGCTGTGTGTGTATTAACAGCCTTTCTCTCCTGGGCGGGGGTGGTGTCAGGTGTGCACCATACAGGGCTGTGTGTGTATTAACAGCCTTTCTGTGCTGGGTGGGGATGGATGAGTACACAGCATGTAGGGCTGGGTGTGTGTGAAAATCCATTCTGTGCTGGGTGGAGGTGGAATGAGGTCCCAGCATGGAGCGGAGTATTGGGGGCAGGGGATTGTGCTGAGGGTGAGATCCAGAGACCCTCTGCAGACCCTGCCCCGTGGGACTGAATGGAGGACTCTGTAAACAGCTCTGGGCTCCCCTGGGATGAGAACAGTAGGCGCAACCCTGGCAGCGGCCCATCCGGAAGTGCTCTCTGCGTCCTCTGCCAGCTACCCAGCTGCACTCGTGCCATCCGCTTCCAGTTACCGAGTCCCTGCCCTGCCCTGCACTGGGCTAAAGCAGACCAGGCGCTCCCTGGCCACGTGGAGAGCAGGGGATGTGTCATGAGAAACCCAGGTAGGACGCTGCAGGCCGGGTGTGGGTACAGGAGCCGCTTCCTCCTCCTCGATGCTCTGCAGCCAGGGGGAGGGGGCGGGCTGTGTTCTAGTCCCCAAGGAGATGGGCAGCCCTTTGACCTTGACTTACCCACCCTGCAATAAATTGGGAGGAGGAGGAGAGGTCTTGAACCATCCATTTTTGGACTGTTTGCCATTATTTCTCAGAAGGTTCTTTGAGATGAAAGGCAGCCATGGGGGCTGGCTGTATTTATGCCTGCCTTTGGGAGTGGTCGCAAAGTGCCTTCAGCTTCACACATGAAAGTGGACTTTGGTTCAATTTGGAAAGAAAAAGTCTGGTGGTAATATTTTGTGGATGACTTTTACCTACACAGTTACAGTATTGCTTATTTTAACTATTGCCTCTTTAATTTGTGTGAATTTGAAAAATTAATAAAAGCATTCAGGGTCTGGCAGGTGGCGTGGTGGTTAAGGTGCTGGACTCCCACATGGCCAACCAAGGTTCGAGTTCCAGACCTGGCAGCTTGCTTTTCTACTTTCCTTTTCTCTCTCTCTGTCTTTTTCTGGTCAAATTAAACAAATAATGATGATAATAAATGAAATAAAGTAATACTTTTTACAAAATTTAAAAAAAAAGTATTCAAAGATTTGGCCAATGGGAATCTTCGCTAAAGATAGCTCTGGGCGGCTCAAAGCCAGACCTTTAAAGGTTAGCAACTATGTATGTCCTCTGGTTTATGCCAAGTGATACTTGTTTTGTGGAGAAGTTTCCTTGGAATATGTTTAAGTGAAGGGGGCCAGCAGGTGGCTTGGTATTTAAGGGTGCTGGACTCCCACATGGCCCACTGTGGTTTAAGTCCTGGACCTGGGGGCTTGCTTTCTCTCTCTCTCTCTGGAAATATTGAAATAATAATAAATAAAGTTAAATAAAATAATTATTAAAAATAATATGTTAAAAAAAGTGAATCAATTTAAAGAAAAATATGAAGTCAGTAACAGTTTGTGAGGTGCGTAGATGCCCCAAGTCTTGCCTGCCGAACGGAAGCAGTGGTGTATGCTAAAATGATGCTGTTGGTTTGAAATAATATTACTGCTACCAGGGGAAGGAGATAAGATGATCTTGTGCTCATACAGGAACAACACTCTAATTTTCTTACCAACTTGGATAGCATTTTTGTATCATTTGTGAACAGCAGTGTGCCAGGTGGATTGGGGAGTCTTTTCTTTTAATTGCCAGAAGGTATATACACTTGCCAGGGTGAGAGGAAGCGTCCTCCTTCCCATTTGGAGTGTAGACATAGCGTCCTCCTTCCCATTTGGACTGTAGACATACCGCAATCCTTTTTCTTCATTTTTTTTTTCCCAAAGAGAGGTTTTTGCTATAGGGCTTGTATTCTTGCCAGAAAGACAGAGAGAGAGAGGCAGAAAGCAAGAAATCGACCCCCAGGGAGGATGGCCACACCGCAATCCCTTCTCCTCCATTCTCCTCTCAGGATCTTGGGCATGTACGCACACGTGCCTGGCGTGAGTTTAAGCTGCCTGATCCGGGACTTGAACCGTGGGCAACTACATGGGAGTCCAGTGACATAACCATTATGCCATCTGCTGGTCCCTCCTCCATTTCTTTAACCTGTCATGGTTTTGGGCATGCATACTCATGCATGTAGTATGGTTTCCTTTAAAAAAAAAAAGAATTATTTATTTAATTGTATTTATTGTTGTTATTTAAAAATTTGCTATAGGGCATGTGCATTCATCAGAGAGAGAAAGTGAGAAAGCAAGCCACCAGGTCTAGGACTTGAACCACAGTTGATCATGTGGGAGTCTAGCGCATTAACCACCACACCACCTACTGGCCTCCATCTGGCATGTTTTTCAAGCTGTTAGGGCCAGAATTCAAACTCTGCCACCAGAATTCAAACTATCCCAATGCATAGTGCTTAACCACTGTGCTACTGGGATGCCCCTGGGCCCCCTTTTTAATGAGGTTCATTTTCTCCCATGAGAGACAGACTGATGGCCCCCTCCACATGTCCTCACACTGCAATCAACCCCAGCCTCAGTCAGCCTGCATTGCAGACATGCGTGTGCCCTGTGGGCTGAAGGTGGGGTCCAGTGTGAAGCCAGAACCTTCCCCTGTGGGTGCACCTTGCAACACACCGTGTTACCAGCAGACCACTGTGGCTGGCCCCTGATCGGGAGTCTTGTCTTGTCTTTCCTTCTCTTCCCTTTCTTTTCCTTTTCTTTTCAGTTTTGGTATAGGGCACATGCACTTTCCAGAGAGAGAGAGAGAGACAAAGAGAGAGAGAGAAGGATGGTGAGAAATCACTCCCCAGGGGAGATGGCCATGCTGCAGTCCCTCCTCCTCCATCGTCCTCTCAGATTTTGGGCACACATGCACACGTGCCTGGTGTGACTCTCAAGCTGCCAGGTCCAGGACTCGAACTGTGTGGCTGACCATGTGGGATCCAGCACCTTGCCCTCCGTGCCACCTGCTGGCCCTCAGATAGGTGAATCCTAAAGTTCTCTTAGTTTGTCTAGACAAGATAAGCATTTAAGGGGACGGTGGAGGAAAAAAGGCACCCAGTGCAAGTTGGGAGGGCAGGCAAAGCACTCTTCTCCACCTCGGTTACGTCTCCGTGCCACGTGTCAGGTGCCAGGAAAGATGGCAGCCCTGTGGTGGGAACAGAGCCCTGTTGCTAGCACAGGCCTGGCAGTTCGTGCTGACGAGAGGTGAAGTCATGCTTGGTCAGGTTTGTCCTCAGGGGCCCTCAGCCTCGGCACCATGACTGTTCTGGGGATTGAACATCCTCTGGGGGCCGTGTGCACTGTGGGGTGTTGGGAGCACCCTGGTCTCCACATGCTAGATGTCCCCCTTGGTACCGTGACAACCAGAAATGTCTCCAGCATTGCCAAGTGTCCCATGGGGACATAGTCGCCCTGGTTAAGAGCCCCTGGACTAATGAAATGGTCACTATGAGTGGCCTTATTCCTCCTGTCCTTTCTCGGTGTCTCGGCCTGTTTAAAACAACAACGAACCCAAAAACCAAAAACCCTGTTGGGCTAGAAATTCTCTGGACGCTTGTTGCTGACTCTGGGGCTGGCTCTCTGGCACAGTCAGGAGGAAGGAAGCCTTGCGCTGTCAGAGGAGTGTTGGGAAGTGTCGGGGTGGAATTGTATCCCCTCCCTGAAATTCCTATGTCCAAGCCAGAACCCGCAGCATCTCTGAATGTGGCTGTATTTGGAGACAGGGCCTTTCAAAAGATGACTTATTTAAAAGGAGGCTGTTAGGGTGGGCCCACATCTGGTCTGCGCCCCTCTGAGAAGAGGCCGTGAGGACTCACAGTGATTTTTGTTGGGGGAAAAGGAGATGGGAGTTTACGAGGCCTCAGTGATCCGTGGATAAGCATGTGTGCGTTCTATTGATCCTGGTGGAGTCTTATGAGCAGAAAGAAGGTGACAGAAAACTCTAGAAACTTCAAATTGTCCCTCTAAGTTCTTCAGGAACAGTATCTTTCAGAGTGACATATTGATCCTTATTTATTTATTTTTAAAGATTTATTTATTTAATTCCATTTGTTGTTGTTATTTTTCAATTCGACCAGAGAGAGAAAGAAAGGGAAAATGAAAAAGCAAGCCACCAGGTCCAGGACTTGAACCACAGTTGGCCATGTGGGAATCCGGTGGCCTTAACTACCATGCCACCTGCCGGCCCTACTTTTTAAAATTATTTTAAGGGAGACTTTTATTATAGGGCGTGCATGTTTGCTGGAGAGACAAGGAGACAGAGAGACAAAGTGAGAAGTCACCTACTAGGGGAGATGGCCATATCACTGTCCCTTCTCCTCCATCCTCCTCTTGGGGTTTTGGGTATGCACACACACCCGGTGTGAGTTTTAAGCTGCCAGGTCCAGGACTCGAATCATGGTCGCTACTTGGGAGTCCAGCGATGTAACTATTATACCATCACTGCTCCCTTTGGGTCGTTATCTTTACCGCCACCTCTCTCTGTATGGGCCATGTTCATGGGGCAGGGTGGTGTGGCAGTCACGTGATGGCTGCGAGGCTGACCACGGGGAAGGTTCCCCGTTTGTGTCTGTGACCCTCCCTGACGATGCGGGCACATATGTGTCCATGATCCTGTCTGGGTCAGGCTGGGGTAGATAGGGGTGTCAAGACCCTGTTGGGGTGTGGTCTCCCTCTTTATCTCTCTCTCATGGAGGAAACAAATAAATAAATGAAACTTTATAAAAGGACATGATGAGTCAATAGATGGTGTGGAGCTTGGGGCAGCTGGATCCCACACGGTCTATTCTGCTGTTTGAGTCCTGGACTCGGTGGCTTAAAAATGAAGCCCGGGGCGTGTGTGTGCATGCCACAACCCTGAGAGGACAATGGAGGAGAAGGGGTTCCGCATGGCCATATATATAGAGATTAGCCAAGTCATAGTAACCCTGAACATAAACTGGCAAAACTGTCATAGCAGGGTAGCTTTTCCTTCTCTGGATCTCAGGTGCCAGGACTTGACCAAGCACTCTCTCTTTCAGTTACTTCGTCATTGCCTGAGCGCATGTGCAATTGCTAGAGAGAGGGAGAGAGAGAAGAGAGTAACGCTCCCATCCTGGTCACACCGCAACCCCTTCCTCACCATTTTTCCATCCTCTTGGGTTTTTTTTTTTAATCTTTTTTTTTTTGGAGAGGTTTTTGCTATAGGGCATGTGCGCTCGCCAGAAAGACAGAGAGACAGAAAGCGAGAAATCACCTCCCGGGGGCATGGCCATGCCACAATCCTTTCTCTTCCATTCTTCTCTCGGGATCCTGGGCATGCATGCACATGCGCCCAGCATGAGTTTAAGCCACCGGGTCTGGGACTTGAACTGTGGTCGACTACATGGGAGACCAGCGACATAGCCATTACGCTAACTGCTGGTCCCCATCCTCCTGAAATTTTGAGCACCCACATGACCTGTGTGTTATTCAGGTTATGAGGGCCGGGACTGG